AGAGAGAGAGAGAGAGAGAGAGAGAGAGAGAGAGAGAGAGAGAGAGAGAGAGCGAATGAAAAACCAAACCAATTTAAAATGCTGATTGCTGTGCTCAACTGATTTCTGATTGATGCCAACGCTTATGTTCCCGTAGCGATATCACTAATTATGCAATTAATAATAATCCGATTCGATGCCATAGATTTGCAAACGATGATTTGCAAACAACGGTATTTCCAAATGAAGAAGAAAATGTGATGATGACAAACGTTCTCAAATCGGATGAAATGTGCGCTTGAAAATTGGCATTTCATTTGTGAATATCAAATGGCCAAGCTGTTTGATTTGCTGCAAAGTCGGCAAGAGATTATGCATGGGTCATTAAAAACGAATAAGTCAATTAGATTTATCGGCCGGATTCAGTTCCGTAAAGATGATTGTCCAAAAGAGATTTCGTTAACTCAATACGACGTATGGCTAACCCACATGCCATACACTGGGCATTATTCTTTTTTAAGCACGTGGACTAATGCCGTTGTCTATCAATGTAATTTAAGCGGACAATTTCTGTCACAAAATCAAATTAAATCCAATTCACATTGAATTTAGTTTGAAAGCGTGCACTGTGTTGCATAAATGAATAAAAGCCTTGAAATTTATGAACCAAAAATCCCGCACATATTTGCGCTTGAATTCACAGTGGATTCGGTTGCTGTGATAGCAGAAATGGATGCAATATGCATCGCCTATCATCGAGTCATTATAATTGAATATGCATCTTTGTTCCATGATGAATACTGTGAATGCGCACTGCCACCACCGCCGCTGCCACACATGAAACGCTAATATAATAACATATAATCGAGTGAAATAATTTATTATTTCCACATTACATTTCTGGTGGTGTCATCAAAAGTGTGCGCACACATATTTGGTTGGCAGCCAGTTGACTAGCTACAATTCGCCATGTGGCATGTTGCGTTCACGAGTGCCAACAGCAGCGATTATGATTTTACCACCTCCTGATGGCGCGTAGCCCAGTCACACGTACTCTCGCGCATTTATCATGCAGTCGATGAACGAAACACAGCACAAAAAAGTACTGACTCATTTTAATGACACATCGAAATTGTTTGAAAAGCGCAAAGTGCGGTTTTGTTCGCCATCAACCGCCGCACAATGTCTTTGCCATAAACACTTTCTAATCAGATTAATTTCATGCCGAAAATTGGTGGGCCCATCGAAAAATAATGCGATAGATTCATCATCGATCGATGAAGCGCGTACAAGCGCACATACATATTGCCTATGGTGCCAATAGATTGGAAACACGTTCCGGCCCGTTTTGTGTTTAATTAAACGTAAAATGTGCGATGCATTAACACCGATTTAGTTTTAACAATAGACACAAGTTGTTGGATCTTTCGAAACAATCGTTTTGAGCACCTTTGTGTTGTAAACGGTGTGCTGCTAGCGCCGAATATAGTCGAACCGAACGAAAGACGAAAGACGTGGGAGATAACTCCCGTTGGAAACGGAAATATATACACAAAATATTGGTCTCGATAAACCAGAAGTTGTTTTCAACATTGTACTAATCAAATAACGCTATCGTAGCCAATGACCTTAAACTTGATTTTCGATATTAAAAAAAATTGGAATTTTTTTCCGATGAATTTTCGAACCGTTTATTATCATTAAGATTATACATATTTGGTTCCCATTACATCTGCTGATAAATGACAAGTGGTTTTTTTTGTCTCTTGTCTCTCCGTTGCTTTGGAGGTATAGCGCATAAATTCAGACGGCAAAAGAAACGGAATGAGATAGAGAAAACCGGTTAACAGTATTTTTTGTGCCATATTTCGGTTGAAAATTATTTCATCTCGCGTGCTGCATCGCGTTTTATAGCCGCTAAACGTTTTTTTTCTGGCTTGGTGTTCGACGGGCATCGAACGAGATTCGATTAATTTGAATGTGATAAAAACCGTTAGAAGCCATGAATTCGATTCGAGTTCTGTGCGGAAAAAAGGAGATGCTTTCGTGAAAAGAAGCGAAAGAAAAAAAAGAATCCCACCGATGATTAAGCAAATCGATAAAATTGGGAATAAAAATGCAAAAGTGATACTGAAAACTAAACGGAGTGCCATAAGCGTACGCTCGATGCTTTCATTCAATTAAATTTATTTTCATTTCGATGGCATTTTCTCTTTTATTTCCTGCCAATTCTGTGTTTTTTTCCGTTGCTTCTCGACGTATATTCGATTCGCACGTACGGCTGCAGAAATCGTTACGAGAAATTCTTCGTTTTTTTGTTGCTGATCGGGAACGTGCATGATGTCTGACACGTCCGCCACCAAGCATACAATTTGGAAATTGTCCCCCTGGGATCAATGTGCATTTCGAA